TTATATTACTGTAGAACTGCTTACCAGTCAAGATCCCATATGCCAGCCAAGGATCAAGCAAGGCTTTTCTAAGGATGTGTAGTCTCAGGCTACTTTGTTAACTCCTTCCTACAAAGTCCACCCCATTTGGCTGATGCTTTTTTAGAGCAAAATTATTGTCAACAGGACCCCCTGTGGCAGGGAGAAAGCATCTTGCTAGTATGCCCTCCAGGGTCCTGGATTTAGCCAATTAAAACAAATCCCATCGACAATAAAGGTCAATCTTAGAAAGCCTGGTGGTTTTCTCCTAAAGTTTTTGCCTTCAAAAGTTTTGCCTTTTTACCTGGCTTGAACTATCCATTCAAACACAGTAGGACTCTGCCTGGTAAGTTGAAGCTGAGCTGCATGCCTTCCAGGACTGAGGCGATCCATGAACGTTAAGAAGGTACATATTCAAGAAGAGTAATCCAGAGAGTACCCTTGGAAACAAAAAATTTGCAACTGGCAGGTCACCCAATGAAGACATACATTAGTAGGCATTAGAGGTAAAGAGGGCCCCTAGTTTGGCTTCCTGCTGTGAGTCCTTCTGCCCTAGGGTTCTCTGTCCAGTTGAAATAATGCAGTTGAGTCCTTAGTTTTAGAAGGACTTCCAGAAGGCAGTTTCACCAATTTTGCTTGTCTTTGACATCAGTTCATTTGCCTCATGAATGTGGACAACATCTAGAGCTGTTCTTCATGGGAACATAGGACCTGGGCCCACCGTTGCTGTCCCACAGTCAGTGCTGTCAGGTGTGATCACAGGCTCAGTAGTGGTTCGAATTCAAGACCTCACAGCATCCTGGGAAGGCAACAGTGGCATTCAGGAACAGTTCTGAAAAACAGAGAAGTTATGAAAATGAGATCATTAACATCCTCTTTCCCTGTATCTCCCAGATGCTGGGCTTTCCCCCCCACCCCATGTTATTACAAAATCAGTGTGTCTCATTTAATAGTCATTACTTTACATTTTTTTCCCCAGTCATTTTTATTCTCATCTATAATCCAAAAGCGTTGGGTAAAAAGAGGGTGTCAAGAATTTAGTTAAGTTACTGCATGGTATTGCTGCATTGACCTCATTTTGTTTGGCCAAGCAGTGTCCTGAAACTGACACTAGTCCCCTCACCTAAGCACATGCCCTAGATAGTAGTCCACAGAGTCACAAGCACATGTAAGTTCCTGCTGGCACTTCCCCAACATCCCTCATGATCAACCATTTGCCCTGCCCCCATTGCCTTCTCTTCACGTGGCTCCTTAGATAAGACTTCAGTGTGGCATTGCAAACCCTGCCCTTTTGGTTTCAGTTGACCAACCTAACCTTAGCCCCAGGAACTCCAAAGCACTCCACCTGCAGACTCTAATAAAAATGTGCCCCAATGTCTACCTCTCTCTGTCTGCACTCTGCTTTGACCTCTGCACATGGCCCCTCAAGGTGTGCCAGGCACTTCCTCCAGGACTTGTAAGTAGTAAACTTCCCTATTTTAATTCCTCTTATGTCTGTTGTTGAGCCACAGTTCACTCTCTGACATCCTGTGGCCCACTTAATAAGTGATGATTTAAGGAATTTGTAACAGAGGGACAGAAGAATGTACATAGAAAAACACTGTTAATATAACTTAACCAGAAAGACAGCATGGTCAGGAACTGGTTAGGACAAAACCTTGAATTTTCAAAAGTTTTCAGAACATGTTTACATAGCTCCCACCCTTTTCATCCTGATCATTTATTCAGTAGGCAGCCTGAAAAAGAATAATCCCTTTTTGGGAATAGCTGTTTTTAATAATCAAGCTGCCTAACTTAGGAGGAAGGTGAGTAAAGTTGAATCAGGCCATCAGTCTCTTGTTACAAATTTCAAATATTCTTGAAAGTCAGACATAAGTCAACAGCAGTGAGACATTCCTGAGCAGGGGTTGAGAGTCCTTTCTGTCAGGAGTGGGCAGAGACGTCCTACTTCCATGCTGTGTTCTCTTTCAACTTGCAGCTTTCATCAGGAATCACAGCTTAGGTTCCTTTTGGTCATTCATCTCAAATGCAATTAGTCCCTACATTAGAAATATACAGCCACCAGCAGCTTGGTTTCAGATGGTCCCATCAGGGAATGTGCCCTTTCTTATGGGCATCTGCAGGTGACCCACGTGGTCCAGAGAGCACCCATGATGTTTTTATAGCCCACGGCCCCATGGAAGGGTGTCTTAAGTCTGCAGTAGTCCCAGCATCTCAGTTCTGTTCATTAAGCCTATGTCTGTTTTCCAAGATTGAACTAATCTGTTACAGATGTTATTAGGTTTCAGGCTACCATCAGGTCCAGGCAATTAGGATCTCTGGATTCAGGATTCCAGAAGCTAGTGACTTTTCTTCCTTGGCAGCAGCAAAGATGAGAGACTACAGGGGCCGACAGTGGAATTCCAAGTTCTGCTAAGCCCCTTTTATCTTGTCAGTCTTAGAGTCCAAATTGACCTACTCAAAAATATGCACAATTAGTCTAGACAATCATCAGTCTCTAAGAGTCAGACATCTGATTTTACAGAAACTTATTATCAAACTAAAACTGCTTTTTAAAACTCTAAAAGTGCATTTTCCTGTGCAGATTACTTCTCCTTTTATGTTGTCTGCCTTTTCTCATAGGCCCCAATAGGTAAAAATCATGGGAACAATAATCACCTATGAAGATTTCAATACTCAGATTTTCAAGGATTTAAAATTTTTAATCCATCCAAGCAAGAAATCCTGTTCTACTCACACCTATTATTGGGCAGCTTTCCATGTTGGAATAATCCCGTTAGCATTTATGAGATTACAAGAATATAATTTATACTGTTTTTTAAAATCACATACCCAGAAGCAATAGGCACAAAATAAAAAGCCATTTTAGAAATCTCTCTCTCTCTCTTTTTTTTTGCAAGTTTACTCAAACCTTAGCAGGAAATTCAACACTTTCAGGATTAATGTTACAACTACTGAGAGATCCCAGCTGGAATGCAACAGGCTGCTATACCAGCGGATAGAGTGTTATTTTTCTGCTCTTCTTTTTTTCTGATTTGTCTAAAGTTTGTGCCAGCCTTGGAATTGACTTAATCTTATTTCCTCTCACTTGGAGGAGTGAGCAGTACAAACATACTACATTTTGGGAAATGTTTTTTGGCAGCGTTCAAACCCTTTCTCCTCCCACCTAAAGGGGAGAACAAAACCTAAAGACATCAGCCAGGCTATAATTTTTAATTCCTTTACATTAGCTACCTTGGCCAAAAGTGGCCTATGGATCCAGTTCTCCTAGGGTTGGAGCTATCATTTTCAAGTTCCATAGGTAACCTTCACCTTCCAGAAAAGACATCTCAGCTGCTGTTTCATACCACATGACTAGATAACCATTGGTATGTGAAGGTTCATAATTGTATCCCCTTCATACTTTCTTTCTCTGACCACTGTTTTAGCCATATTTCAATGAGTCAGGGTTGTTTTTAATAAGTCACACTTCTGACACCAACTGTCACCCCCAGTTTAAGGATTTGCTAGAAGAATGCACAGCATATAGTTATACTTATGGATAAGATTTATTACACTGAAAGGATACAGAGCAGAATCCAAAAGGGGGAAGGGATATTGGCTTAAGTCTGAAGAAAGCCAGGGAGAAGCTTCCAAAAGGTTCCTTTTGTTGTTTCTTTTTGTTTTGTTTTGTTTGTCCCACTGAAGTCTTACAGGCTGTGCTTAATTCCTCCAGTAATGAGTTTTGGCAACAAATGTGAAATGTTGTCTATGTGCTCATTAGAGACTTCATGCCCTCAGTTTTTACTGGGTGCTGTTTATGTGGTACCCTGCTATGTATTGAATGTTGTGATTCTGCAAAATTCATATGTTGAAGCCTAATCCCCAATATGATGGTTTGAAGGCGGAGCCTTTGGGTGATAAGTAGATGAGAAGGTGGAGCCTTCATGAATGGGATTAGTGCCTGTGATGGTTAATTTTACATGTCAATTTTATGGGGAGCCCAGATTAAACACTATTTCTGGATGTGTCTTTGGAGGCACTTCCTGATGAAATTAGCACTTGAAATGATAGACTCAATAAAGTAGATTGTCCTCCCCAGTGTGGTGGGCCTCATCCAATCAGTCGAGGGTCTGAATTGAACAAAAGACAGAAGGAGGAATTTGCCCTGCCTCACTGCTTATGGTGGGATATCTCATCTCAACTTCTTCTGCCCTTGGACTGGGATTTACACCATTAGCTTCCCTAGTTATTAGGCCTTTGGACTTGGACTGAATTACACCACTGGTTTTTTTGGGTTTCTAGTTTGCAGATGGCATATCGTGAAGTTTATCAGTCTCTATAATTACATGAGCCAATTCCATATTTATATATGCACATTTTCCCATATTTAAATAGCTTCTGTCTATAAGACCTTAAAAGAAAGATTCAGAACTCCAAGAGATAAATGTCACTCAAAGAGGTTTGAAAATAAGTTGTATTTTCTTCAAAATACTTCTAAGCAACAATTAGGTATGACCTGTTCTGGTTTTTCCATCCCCTGATCATAGATTTATTTGTTTTTGTTTCTGAAATTGGAAGAAAAGACATTTCTGTCTTAAGAGGAATAGAAAAGAAGAGGTTTATCTATTGTTAAGTTTTGTGGACATACCTGGTCCTGCTTCCCCAAGAGGAGTTACCTTTCTTTCTTTAATAACAGACCTCCAACAGTGGTGACATACGGTTATAGTTATAACTTTTCCTTTCTCATGTGGGTCATTGAGAAGCAGACTTTCTGCATTCTGTAATAAAAATATTACAAAGTAACAAGCCCTCATGTCTCACTATTTAGACAAGAAATAAAAATGTTGCAAGCTATTTTATGCTTTGGTTACTTTCCTTAGTAACTTAGAAATTGTGGTATGATGCTCTACAAACACTGGTCACAATTATTAAGCCCACCTTTTTGTAGCTCAAGGAAGAATTTTCATATAGAAAATGGTCAGGAATACCTCCATCTAAGAATGCAAGCTTTATCAAAGGTTTCTTGGAATACTGCTGGAATGGTGGGAAGAGTCTGACTTCATTATTCTACTCCTTGCTTCAGATTTGGCTGTGCTGCTTAGTAGTAATTTCACATCAGGCAAGTGGCCATCTATTGGAATCTCAATGTCCTTATCTATAAATTGTGATACAAATCTCCACAGATTTGTTATAATGTCACAGTGTTGTTATAATGAAAATAGCAGAGGTAAAATATTTGACTTCATACCTGGCAGAAAGGAAGAGCTTAATAAATTCATTAGTCCTGTTATCTCAAAAAAATGCTCACTAGAAAATAAGGACTATAATGGTAATAGAAGCTTTATTTATAATACCCCACCTGGAAACAACCCAAATGACAGCCCCAAATGACCATCAGTAGTAGACTGAATTTTTTTAAATGTGGGATAGTCAGTCATACAGTGTAGTATCATAAAGTATGAACTACTGTTTGCACAAAAATAGGGATAAATCTCACTGATGAAATGTTGAATGACACAAAATACTGCATTCTGTATAATTCCATTGAAAGAAAGTTCGAAAACAGGCAACATTAATCTATAGTGACAGTGGCCAGAAGTCATAACCTTTTGGAGAGAGAGGATGGATTGGAAGAAGAATAAAGGGAACCAGTGGGGGGTGCCAAAAATGTTTTAGTCTTCACCTGCATGGTGGTGGTTATGTACTGGTACATGTATGTAAAAATTCATCAGACTATACGCTTAAGGTTTGTACATTACAGATGTACTGTTTATTACAGATATAAATAATACATCAACAAAAAAAAACTGCTCCCTTAAACACAGGAGCTGGATTTTTGTTTCAAAATCAATGTCATTTATTAGGGGAGTATCTGGCAATAGATACAACATACCAATAGCTGGCCATCTTGCAGGCTGTAGTCAGTCTGTCCCTTGTAAGTGGCCCCATTTCAGAGCTATCCTGGAGCAGACAGGCACATTATAAGGGTCATGCTCCATCATCATGGACAGCTGGAGATGCGACCACATGCCATCGGCAGCAAAGCACAGGGAAAACCAGGCAGTGGAGTGTGCTTCCCACCCTCAGGCTTGGAGGCGCAAGCCCCAGCCATGGAAGGATTAAAAAGCCTCAATTTAAAAAGACAGGGGGAGGGGAGGGAATGTGGGCTGTACAATTTATAAATAGACATTCCCGAGGCTGCCTGATGGTGAAGTGGTTGTTTAGTAAATCTTTCTCCCTTAAGGATCCCATTAGCGGAGAGCATTTGAAAATAACAGTTTCATTTTGGCTTTTGGGGGAGATCCTGGGTCTCATCAAGTCAGCTCTGTCAGAGGATATTGCTCTTTCTCAAATTTAGGGACAGGCCTTCGACAACTTAAATCACCTACACATGGAGCACAAAGATGATGACGACGATGATGTGTCTTTTGCCAAATGGATGAGCAGCTTCTGGGGTCACAGCTGGATAGAAGAGAACGAGAGAGGACTCCGGGACCATCATGGGCCAAAAGATGCTACTCACAGGAAAACCTCCCTGCCCTGCCCAGTGAGTTATGATCAGAGAACCAGGGGAGAGCCGGACTAGGGGAGGGGGATTTCTATTAGATAATTTTTGAAGAGGCCTTTGGTGTAAAATCTTTGGTTCAAAATCAATACTTCTAAACCTTTTTATACCCACAAGAGTCCTTTTTATTGTTTTATCTTGTCCTCCTGGGACCTGATTTTCATTTAGTAGGCAAAGATTTCTTCATTTTTAGTAGCTTAAGATCTCTTTAACTACTATTCAGAGTTCCTGATAAACCTGAGGCAATCCTCCTGAGGGTTAATAGGATTTGAGTCAAAGGAAAGACACTTGATGTTATAAATTAGTCTGTTTAGCATCAGGTGTGGATCAATGTGTGATTTCCAATACTCTCTTTGGAATACTGAAAATAGCTCCGTAATTTGATGACCTCAAATCAGCCCCTCCCGTGGGGATTCCACATAATAAATCATTACCTTTGATAATTTTTTTTAATTTTTATTTATTTGAAAGACAGAGATCACAAGTAGGCAGAGAGGCAGGCAGAGAGAGAGAGGTAGGGAAGCAGACTCCCTGCTGAGCAGAGAGCCCGATGCGGGGCTCCATCCCAGAACCCTGTGATCATGACCTGAGCTGAAGGCAGAGGCTTTAACCCACTGAGCCACTCAGGTGCCCCTTTGATAAATTTGATACACTTTTTCTTCTGGTTCCCCTTTGGTTTCCCGAGGGGAGAGGAAACCAACATTTTTCTGTCCTCAGTACTACTTTTCCACAGGGAGGCAGAGTACCCAGTGTCTAGGGAGCAAGATGCAAGCAGGAGGAAGATTCTAATGGCTGAACGGGAGGGGCTGGCCAGGTGAGGACTCAGCGGCAGGGACAGGCCCTGGTTCTCTCTGCTTCACAGTCATTTACTATAATAGAATAGTAAATAAAAAAGCAAGAATATAGGGATGCCTGGGTGGCTCAGTCAGTTAAACATCTGGCTTCAGCTCAGGTCATGGTCTCAGGACCTGATTGAGTCCCGCATCGGGCTCCTTGCTTTGTGGGGAGCCTGCTTCTCCCTCTGCTTCTCCCCCTGCTTGTGCTCCCTCTCGCTCTCTCTCTCTCTCTCTCTGACAAATAAATAAATAAAACCTTTAAAAAAAGAAAAGTGAGAATGTAGCTTTTCTTTTCCACAAGTCCCTTAGGATTCTAGCTGTAGAGAATGTCTCCCCAACCTTCTGCTTCTGTCAACCCCAGAACCAGTATGTTTTGGGACAGTGTTATTTTATTTCCGTTTTAGCCTCAGAGTTCCTAGAAGCATAATGCTTGTGAGGGATATTATGGTAGGTATGGAAATCTTTTTTTAATTTCAGTGACCAGCAAATTTGAGGAATGAGACCTCTTTAAGACACAAATATTTGAAGATAGACTTCTTTTTTTTTTAGATTTTATTTATTTAAAAAAATTTTTTTTAAATCTCTTTTCAGTGTTCCAGAATTCATTGTTTATGCACCATACACAGTGCTCCATGCAATACGTGCCTTCTATAGATTTTATTTATTTATTTGACAAAGAGAGAGACAGTGAGAGAGGGAACACAAGCAGGGGAAGCAGAAGAAGGAGAAGCAGGCTTCCTACTAAGCAGGGAGCTCGATGTGGGGCTCCATCCCAGGACCCTGAGATCATGACTTGAGCCAAAGGCAGATGCTTAGTGACTGAGCCACACAGGCACCCCTTGAAAATAGATTTCTTAGCAAATGCATACTGAGGGACAAAGGGAAAGTTTCAACAGGTCTTTGAGCTTCAGGTTCCTTATGTAAAAAAGAAGAGGGGGTACTGGATGATGTCCGGGAGCTCTTCTAACTCTTAACTATCCATGATTCTGTTGTAAATAAACAGCTGTTTATCACGCTCTCATTTTAATCTCTTATGTTCCACTTCAAATGAGGTATTCACAGTGTGTGAACCAGGAGTACAGTTAGTTTCCAGTTTCCAGATAGTGAGAACCAGGGAGAAACAAAGAGAAAAATTGTGATTTGCTATTTATCTCTACAGTCCTTTGGAACTGTTGAAAATATGAAAACAAAACATGAAACAAAAACAAATGACTAATAAAAGACAGTTTTGTTGAATACATCTTAGCATCTATTATACCTGTAAAACTGAGATAATCCACCCTTTTCAGGGAATCCAGTTTTAGGTTGCAGTGTTGTTTGCCTTAAACTATTGGGACCAGCAGAATTTGTTATGTAATGCATTTCTAAACAGTGTCCATATATCTCTTCCTGCTCATACTAGCTTCGGGCATTTGCCTGAATTAACCTGTTTAGATTCTCTAAGTCAACAGTGAATTCCACAGTTATCAGACCACCTGCAGAAAGTATGTGTTTATTTGAGGAGATGAAGCATGGAATAAAAATGAGCAACTGACTGAACAGAGTAGAGACCGTGTGAGTGCAGAACACAGAGCAGGAGACCCAGGGCAATGTGGGCAGAGTCCTGGGAGATAGTCAGGGTCTGAATGTCCAGCTCCAGTCACAAAACGCCATATATTCATGACAAGAGCCTGTGTTGGGTACTTTTCTAAGTCTAGAATGTGCTCAGATTTTTCTTACTTTAGAGATCAGAGAACAATTAGGTTTTCATTGTGTGTGTTTTGCTTTAAGTTCAATCAATGACTTAAAAAGAAAAGCTTACTTTCAGCCTTGTCTCTTTTCTTCTCTCCCCACTGCTTCCAGCTGAGGCTCTTCCCTCTCACAACCTATTAAGAACCTATATCCATCCATATTACATGCATAGGAAGAGAAGAACTTTCCCTTCCTTTTCCATTTGAATGTGGTTTCTAATATGGCTTTTAGCCTCGTGATGATTCCTGCAAAGTGATGGAGCCTTGATTCATTGACTATATTTATTGACCACCTACTATGTGACAGGCATCACTTACGCAAGGCATGTAGAGGGTACAAGAAGACATACATGATCTCTATGCTTGTGGAACTTCCAGTCTAGTGGAAAATACAAATCTGGCAGAAAGAACAAGGCAGGCAAGGGGTAGAACTTGGTCCTTCTCAGAGAACACTACTTTTTGGCAAGACTCATTATAATAATCTGTGACTGCTGATTTAAAGTAAATTAAAAAAAATCTAACTTCATGACTAATGTAGTTTCTTGTTTTTCAGATTAAGTTTTTATTTAATTTCAATAGAAGACAATGCCTTAATCCCTGATGTGAAACTGGTGATAGTAGTTTTTTTTTTTTTAAGATTTTATTTATTCATTTGAGAGAGAATGAGAGAGAGAGAGAAAGAGAGAGAGAGAAAGCGAGCACAAGCAGGGGGAGCAGCAGAGGGAGAGAGAGAAGCAGACTCCCAGCTGAGCAGGGAGCCCACCCCATCCCCAATGTGGGGCTCCATCCCAGGATGCTGGGATCATGACCTGAGCCAAGGGCAGACACTTAATCAACTGAGCCACTCAGGCACCCCAAAACTAGTGATAGTTTCAGGCAACAGTGACAACTCTGTGGAAGGACTTTTAGCATAATGTTCTATGGATTTGTTTTCTGTCTTCTACTAGTTGTAGAGGAATCGCTGGGAAGGCAGCCGAGTAGGGTGGCTAAGAAGTGTGAAGGGAGGGCTTCAGATGCAGCCTTCCAGGGTCTACCACTAGCAGCATAACTGATTGAGTTACTTACCTCCCTCTGCCTCAGTTTCCCCGTATGTTAAGGGGATTGATGGTAATAGCAGATACTGCTTAAGGGTATAATGAAGATTCAATGAGTAATTTATCTAATGTCATTAGGACATTGCCTGGTACCTAATAAGCACCTATGCTTCTTATTGTCACGTGTTGGAAGTGTTGAAAGTCAGAAATTTTTTTCCAGATGACGCTTCAGTTAATTACTACAAAAAGTCTTTCATTTTGGGTCTGACGATTTTAGATACCTCATGTAAGTGCAATCATTCAGTATTTGTCCTTCTGTGTCTGTCTCAATTTTTGAAAGCACCCCTTTTTTCCTGATAAAAAAATACCCCTGTTTAGATAAAAAAAGTACTAAAAAAAAAAAAAAACAATTCCACAGGACAAAGAAAACCTTTCAAAACATTTGGGTATGTTTTAAGATTGCCCATCTTTTGATACTACCCTACTTCAAGTCCCACCCATCCCTCCCTCCCCGCAGATGCTCACGCTCAGAAGGCTTCATTTCCTTCCACTCCAGCAAGCTCTTCTGTGGCAGGGCCTCAGAACATATGGGGCTTGTCCTGAGGCAGAACAGTGTTCCCTGTTCCCGGATTAACCCTGCTCATCCTTCAGATTGTATCTTCATCATCACACCTTCACAAAAGTCTCCCCTTATCCTCCTAGTCACGCCAACATCCACTGGAACATACATAATTTTACCTTGTTATAGTCTCTCTGTGTATCTTGAACTTTCCCTTTATAGCACTTGGCCAAAGCGGTAGACATATGCCCTCTTTGTTTAATGTTTGTCTCCCAACATAATCTCCAAGAGGGGGATGCTGTGCCTGTTTGTCTCCCAATTTGTCCAAAGCACCAAGTACCATGTCTTACATATAATAAATGGAATAATATATACAAATTTACCTACTATCTTTTAGTAGCTTTACAAATCTTTAACCATATTTTTTATTATTGTTTGAGGGAAAGTTTCTAGGTATGTGTGTTAGTTTGCTTGGGCTGCCGTAACAAAACACCACAGACTGGGTGACTTCAACAGCAGAAATTTATTTTCTCACACTTCTGGAGGTTAGAAGTCTGAGGTTTGTTTTCTCTGAGGCCTCTCTCCTTGGCTTACAGATGGTCACCTTCTTGCTGGTCCTCACATGGTCTTCCTCTGTGGGAGCATATTCCTGGTTTCTCTCTGTGTATGCAAAGTTCTTTCACTTATAAGGGCACCAGTCACACCAGTGGGACCCACCATAATATCATTTTAACTTAATTGTTAGAGGCCCTATCTCCAAATACAGTCATAATCTGACATTCTCACATAAAACTTCAACATATGAATTTGGGGCAGGGGGACACAATTTAGTAAATAATAACGTGAAAGGGACGGATCCAAGGAGGGGAATAATTTGAGTCCTCTGACACATATCACCAACAGCTTTCTAGGAGGGATGTGTGTATTTGTAGTCCTACCAGCAAGGAAGACAGTGTATATCTCCCTGCACTCTTGCCAGTGCCATTAAATAACATTTTTTTTTTTTTTGCTAAACTGAAAGATAAAATTGTGTATTATTTCATTTTCCATAATTTTTGACTATTAGTTAAGCATAAACAATTTTTACCAGCTGTTATTTCTTTTTCTTTTATTCTTTATACATTTGTTCATCATATATATATATATATATATATTAAAGATTTTATTTATTTATTTGACAGAGAGAGATCACAAGCAGGCAGAGAGGCAGGCAGAGAGACAGGAGGAAGCAGGCTCCCTGCTGAGCAGAGAGCCCGATGCGGGGCTCGATCCCAGGACCCTGAGATCATGACCTGAGCCGAAGGCAGCAGCTTAACCCACTGAGCCACCCAGGCGCCCCCATCATATATATTTTTAAATAATCTCTACACCTGACATGCGGCTCAGACTCACACCTCCAAGATCAAGAGTCACATGCTCTTCTGACTGAGCCAGCCAGGTGCCCCTCATCTAGTATATATTTAATGAACTCATGTTATGAATAGGGCAGAGTGCTGCATACTGGGGTTCTAGCAGAGAATGAAACATAGCCCTTGATGTGATGGGGCATATAGTCTAATGGAGGAGAGACATGTAATAAAATTACCCAAAATATTGATCATGATTGTGCTAAATATCATAAAGGAGAAGTACAAGACCCCAGCAGGGCATTGAACCGGGACCAGAACCACCCAGGGTGGTAGGGAAGGGTTTCTGTGAAAGTACAGAATGACTAAAACATGATTCACCATTTCATGGGGTAAAGGGGTAGGGTGGTGAACGGTCATGAGCAGAGAGGACCCCCTGTGAAGGTGCCTGTTTTGGGGAGGAGCAAGTGAGCTGGAGGAAATGACTAACCAGTGAGGCCATCCCTGAAAGGGTGGGTGGGGCAAGAAGAGGTATAAAAGAAAACATGATCAGATGTGACTTGGTTGGTGTTCTAACTACCCTGGCTGCTGTGGGAATGACAAAACAAATGGTAAGAGTGGAGGTAGGGTATCCACTACGGGGAGGCTGCTTCTATCATATGGGTGAAAGATTACCTGGGTGGCTTGGATTACGGTAGTAACAGTGATGCTGGAAAAGAGTGGATAGTTTTTTTTTTTTTAATTTTTATTTATTTATTTATTTATTTATTTGACAGAGATCACAAGTAGGCAGAGAGGCAGGCAGAGAGAGAGAGAGAGAGAGAGAGAGAGGAGGAAGCAGGCTCCCTGCTGAGCAGAGAGCCTGATGCGGGACCCCATCCCAGGACCCTGAGATCATGACCCGAGCTGAAGGCAGAGGCTTTAACCCACTGAACCACGCAGGCGCCCCAAGAGTGGATAGTTTTTGAGAGACGTTTGAGAGATGGAATCTACTGACTCGGCAAGAGATTGTGAAGAGTGACTCCTGAGTTACAGGTCTGAGTGAGTGAATGGTCTGTCATCTTCTAAGTTAGGGGACACGTGGGGAGAAGTTTTGAGGAGGAGAGGTGTGAGTTCAGATTTGCACAAGTCAGATTGAGTGCCAGTGGGATACTACGGGAGAACTTGAGGGGGAAGAAACTTAGAGGAGATGTCTGGCTAACAATATAAATTAGGAAATCAGATGATAGCTAGAAATTAAAGCCTGAAGATGAGATATTTAGGGAGGCGGTGTCATGTGAGAAAGGAAAGGAAGGGAAGGAAGACTAGTTTAGAACCTGGAGGAACTCCAGCAGTTATGAGCTGTTAGCTGGAGAAGTGAGCAAAAATGTCTAAAACACAGTGGCAGAAAGATCACCCTTGAGGTTGCAGTGGTAGAAGACAAGGAAAGATTGTTTCCGGGAGGGCCATATGGGCTACTGGATTGAATTCTATGGAATGATTCAAAACCAAAAGTGGGCAGAATTTGGAAACATTATTAAGATCAATATCCTGACCAAAACCAGTCTTGCATGCAAAAGTTATATTGGAGTGGGTTGGGAAGTGAGAGAAATTGAGACAATGTTTCAAGATTGGCTTCTCTAAGGGGGTCTATCCTTTGATTATTTTCCAGGAGAGATTTTAACATTGTGATTGTATTATATGATCTCTCTGTTTGCCTGTATGCATGTGAGTTATACTTATTTATTTTCAGGAGATCTATTAAACATTACTAACATGTAGCAAATATTTTTTAAAGTTTTTAAATCTACCATTGATTTTGTTTATATTATTTATGATACACATTGGCTTTATTTTTATGTGGTTAAATTGATTTTTTTCCTTATGACTTTTCTCACTGCTCTTTTGCTTAAAAATTCGTTCTTCATATAGAAGTCACATAAATACTCACCTTTGCATTATTTCTTTAACATTTATGTCTTCACTGTAGTTTTTTTTTTTTTTTATAATTTTGGGATTTATTTTACATATCAATTTAAGGCTTGGAATGCTTCATTATTCTACCTTAATGATAGAAGATGAACAAAGCTAGTCTTGGGATGTTCTGGTTAATGTTTTAACTCTACTTCATTGTAGGAGGAAGGTCCTACTGATCAAAAAGATAAAATTTCAGTTCAACATGAGATTTGCTTAGTTGGTTATTTATGGATATTTTGTCCCTGTGTTAATATTATACTGTCTCTTTATACTGCAAAATTTGCATTCTGTATTCCCAGTTTCCTGCGCTTCCTAGAATCACATCGTCTGACAGCCATCCCAGAAGACATTCTCATGAGGACCAGGGATTTCAATGCCATACCCACATGCTGGATTACAGAAAATGCTCAGCAGATGAGTCATTCAAGGAGGCACTGGAATCAAAAGGAAGATCTCAGTCCAAAATTCAAGCATTTTCAGAGTCCTTTGAACAGAAACTATGCTTTAGAACCAAACGCTCCGTCTCTTTGGTATGTAATGGAGTTATTGAATATTTAACCACTTTAGAAAAGGAAACCAGAAGGGTTCATCCTCCCCAAGTTTGAGGAGGATAGATCTAACTTCTTCGTTTATAGTCTAGTGATGAAGTCTTTGAAAAATGACTGTTTTAGATAGCTCAGATGTATATAAATTTTCTTCATTATTTTTATTGGAGATAGCTGGTGTAGGACGAATTACCAGAGGACCATAGGTGGAATGTTTTTGTTACTGAGGTCCTCTGCTTCTTTGAGACTATTTTTGTCAGTCTTATAAATAATTGTGACTTGTTCTTCTTTCACTATTTGAAGAAGGAAAAAACTATCCCAATTGTGCTGTCTTTTCATATCTAATCTAGGAGTATATAGTGTATGATGGTGGTCTGTTCCCCTGTACTTTTTTTTTTTTAAGATTTTATTTATTTATTTGAGAGAAAGAGAGATCGAGAGAGAGAGAGAGAGAAAGAGAGTGAGAGAGAACAAGCCGGGGGAAGTTCAGAGGGCGAGGGAGGAGCAGATTCCCTGCTGAGCCGGGAGCCTGATGTGGGACTTGATCCCAGGACCCAGAGATCATGACCTGAGCTACAGGTAGATGCTTAACTGACTGAGCCCCCCAGGCACACTCCCCTGTACTTCTAAAAAATATGCAGAAGGAATTCTCTAAACATCAGTAAGTATCCAAAAGTAGGAGGTGTCCAGGCATTTCACAGGGGCCTATGGGAGTTTAAGTGAAGCACAAAGCAGAGATAGGCATGACACGGGGAAGAGTAGAAATTCCATTGATAATGCTAAATTTGTTACATAAAGTAATAAACTAGAGATCAATTAAGTTGGGGATAGTTTTTGAACTCCACAACATGTTCACTGAGTCACGTTGAGCAAAATAACTTCTTTTTTTCTGGGTTTTTTTCCCCCAGTTTTGTTTTATTTTGGAATAATTACATGTCTCTGCCATGCAGTAGGCAGAATGAATAAGTGACCAGGAGTATTGCCACCTGGTTCTTGAGCTTTGCTCTGTGAACATACAGAGGAAGACATGTGGCTGCTTCCTACCTCATTGCCCATCTGAACACAATGCTTTCTGCTTAGCAGTGATGGCTGTTGGGACTGTCACCATGCATCCTTGGCTTCTAGGTGGCACCTCACTTTCATCAGAGAGTGACACTGTGTATGGTTTCCCTTCAGGGGGCTGCTCTCTTCACCTGATCATAAGAGAAACTCAGGAAATTAATACTGATACAATAATTTTGTCTCTAATTTATTGATTTTGTTCATATTTTGCCAGTTGCCTCAACAATATTCTCTACAGTGAAATTCCAGATTGTGTGTTGCAACCAATTTTCACATCCCTCTAACTGATTTTATTCAGGAACAGTCTTTCTTGTCTTAAATAAAGACAAGAATAAAATAATCTAACTGATTTTATTCTGGAACAGTCTTTTCTTGTCTTTCATGACACTGACATTTGAAGAATACAGGCCAGATATCTTTTAAAGTGATGCCTCATTTGGGTTTAGCTGACATTTCCTTGTGATTAGATTTAGATTATGAACTTCCAGTAGGAATTTAAGAGGAGTGCAAGAATTCCTGTTTTAGAATAAATTACATGATCAAGTCACTAATTATATTAATCAGGAGATATATTGGCCATAAGTTTTTTCTGGAATAAGTTATGATATAAGTGTCTTTTGAAAAGAATTTTAATCTGAACTGTTCTTTGTTGATTCTGATGTCCTCAGAAAAAATTTCATATAATAACATATCTTATGTAACTGCTTACACGATACCATTTGCTAATATTATAAGCCCTAACAGTGTATAAACATGAAATCAGTTCTCTTATTTAAGGGGATACTCATCACATTATCCCTAAAATATCAAATGTTAGCTAGTATTTCATTTCCCAAGCTCTTTCTTTTGAGTACCAAGGCAATCAAGACAGCATTTTCAAATTTTTGACTCAAAAACTCTTTTCACAGTTCCATATAATAACCAGAAACCTGCTAGGAATTTACAAAATCATTTAATTTTTTTCATATTACCTATGTAAACAATGGAATAAATAACTTTTTAAATATTTTATAACAGTTTTAAGTTTTATAAATTTTATCATTATGTAAAATTAAAAATTTAGAATATACATACAGTTTAAAACTTGTTCTTATTTAACAATTGACATACTTTTCTAAAGCTAACTACACTAAAAGTGTGGTTGATCAGCAAATCTAAAACTGATTTCTATTTTGGCTGGGGACCAAATGTTGAGTAATGTGTAAACATCAAAAAGATACAGAAGCTAGTTTCGTGAACTGATCATGACCAATAACATCAAATTCTTTCGTTTTGTTACTGAAAACTTCGATAGTCTTATTTTGATAATTTTTACATTTTGTTTATAAGCAATGAGAGAAGAAAAAAGATTCCAATTCATTGTTCACAAGCATTTCTCAGATAGTCTTTCTTCTCAATAAGGGAAAAGCCATCACTTTATTTTATAGTTTCTCTTATTTTTTCTCTTATTATAGTTTCTCTTTTTTATATTGCTCTTATAAGCATTCAAGATCTAATACGACTGCTAGGTTTAATGAGAATAATCTGGAGGCACATTTACAGAACAACTATAGTTGTTTTTTTTTAAAAGATTTTATTTATTTATTTGTCAGAGAGAGAGAGAGGGAGAGAGAGCAAGCACAGGCAGACAGAATGGCAGGCAGAGGCAGAGGGAGAAGCAGGCTCCCCGCTGAGCAAGGAGCCCGATGCGGGACTCGATCCCAGGACGCTGGGATCATGACCTGAGCCGAAGGCAGCTGCTTAACCAACTGAGCCACCCAGGCGTCCCAGAACAACTATAGTTTTTAAGTTTCTCTTAACCTGCATCTCAGCTTCATCATTTGTTTCACTTTTTGACTTTGGCCACCAGACCATTATAGATAGAAATGAAACTATCTAGGTATCAAAACAATTTAGCACTGAAGAGTAGCTGACACGACCACAGGAACCAGACACCCTCCTACCTCAGCCTGTGGGATTGAGTCCTGAGGTGGTTCCTCTGACTGGCATGCATCCCAGGCATATTCATTTGACAGACGCTCAGGTGTTCCCCAGGGTTTCCAGTTCAAATGGAAGAGCGGGAGAGTCATGATGTTATCTGTTTATTATTTTTTATTTTTTAATTTAATTTAATTTTTTCAGTGTTCCAAGATTCATTGTTTATGCAACCACACCCAGTGCTCCATGCAATACTTAATACCCTCCTTAATACCCACCACCAGGCTCACCCAATCCCCACCCCTCCCCTCCAAAACCCTCAGTTTGTTTTTCAGAGTCCACAGTCTCTCATGGTTTGTCTCCCCCTCCAATTTCCCCCAACTCACTTCTCCTCTCCATCTCCCAATGTCCTCTGTGATATTCCTTATGCTCCACAAGTAAGTGAAACCATATGATAATTGACTCTCTGCTTGACTTATTTCATTCAACATACTCTCTTCCAGTCCCATCCATGTTGATGCAAAAGTTGGGTATTCATTCTTTTTGATGGAGGCGTGATACCACCTTCCACCAGTTAGAGTGGCCAAGATTATTTGTTTATTTTTAAAAATAGAAGTGTAAGTAGATGCCATCACCACATTTATCAATGCCATCTTTTAGTCAGTAATTCCTTCGAAAGACACTCCTGGACCATGGAAATGAAAGAAACCTTCCTCCTTCCCACCCTGTACTTCCCTAACATATCACCCTGTTTGCTCATTATCATCGCACTTATCACTATCTGTGATTTTCTTGTTTCCTTTTAGACTTACTGTCTATCACTCTTGACGCAGGGGTAATATTGAAGAAGTAGGGTTTCTTTAGTTAGTGCTGTATCTCTTAATCTTAGAACAGTAGTATGTGTTCAATAAATCAGTGAATGTGGACCCCTGAGCAACCAGCTGGGGAACGTTAATGTGCCTGGATATCATTTCCTCAACACTTTGTTCTTCACATAGCCCTCACCTTAGAACTTAATGCAAACCCTATTGTTAATGTAATTTAAAGAAGTAGACACTGGAAGGTTAGAATCATCCCATATATGATTCACTTGCCATATTCCTTTTCAGAAAGCACCAGGAGACTATTAATTATATTGTACTGTGAAATCACATCCCTCTATAGGTCAGAGTTGTATACAGGTCGAGTTTCAACCATAGACCATGGGTGTCTATGGTTGTGCTAACACCCGAGGCCCCATTCCTTTTATTTATGACTAAAACCTTTAGCAACACCCTTGGGCTTCTGCTAAATTTATTATGAGAAATTAAGATGTGGAAATCTACTGAATGACCAGGGCTTTCTTCATTTCTGAGAGTTAGGAGAAATGTGGCTCATTGTCAGCTGTCAGCACACTTCTACCCTTTCTCTGACCTTTCCCTTTCAGGGACCTGAGAGCAGGAAGGAGAGGAACGAAAGGGAATGCCTGAGGATGGAGATAAAATCTCGAAAGAAAGTGGAGGAAAGAAGGAACTCTAGGAAGGAAGAACACGGAGAAGCACACATGCCCACCTTGGTTGAAAGAGAGTCCAAATAGTGTTTCCACATCATGTCTCCAGATGCCAGGTTTTGGTGGCACTTGTGAAGGAGTGTCCGCAAATGCTGAGTGACTGCAGTGGTCCATTGGTGCAGGGCTCCCCAGGATGACTTGCACCTGACTCCCACTGCTTCTGATATCTTAGTTGAGAGTGTGATCTGCTATGTGGTCCTTTTATGGGAATAAAGAAAATAAAATGTATTTTAATAGAAGAAGTGATTCTTAAAAATGTAAAGAAAGATATTTAAAGAGCCCCCAACGCATCTTCACTAACTCTTCTTCTGCATCAACCTTGCAAATAAGTTTAAATAAAAGTCATTGATGTGCCTCTAAGTTTACTTCTTTATCAGAATTATGTAAGTGTGTCTAACGGCCGTCATCTAAGGGGAACTGGTAATTAACGTGCCAAACACTATGCTGAGTTCTTACCTAAAATAATCCTCACTACTCTGAGGTGGGACCTATTATCTTCACTTGCTAGCTGAGAAAATGGAAATTTAGATCATCTGGAAATTCATTGATGAGGTGGCAGAGTTAGGGCCAGAGCCCGGTTCATTCCAACTCATGCCTCTAACCTGAGGCAGGACTTTCATTTCCCTTTAGCCCAGGCTCCTAACTTGGTGTGTGTGTGTGTGTGTGTGTGTGTGTGTGTGTGTGAGAGAGAGACAGAGAGAGAGAGAGAGAGAGAGAGAGAGATGTGCATGGAATGAGTGGATGTGAATGAGAAAAGCAGGAGCTGGGAGTAGCTTATGATTTTGATTATGTGGTTGGAGACTGATTCCCTGAGGTCAGCTTTATGCTCTGGGTTTTAACTTTATGTGACCATATTCTTATTTCTTATTTTAAATTTTATATTGAGACATAACTGACATATAACACTATATTAGTTTCAGGTGTACAACGTAATGATTTCATATTTTTAATAGATCATGAAATTATCACCACAATAAGTCTAGTTAACATCCATTATCATACAATTACAAATTTTTTCTTATGATCAGAACTTTTAAGATATACTCTTTTAGTAACCTGCAAATATACAATACATTATTACTAACTATAGTCACCAAGCTTACCTTATATCCTATGACTTATTTAAAAAGATGGAGTGCTTCCTGAATTTACGTGTCATCCTTGTGTAGAGGCCATGCTAATCTCTGTATCATTCCAATTTTAGCATATATATTGCTGAGGTGAGTACTTTTTTCCCCCAATTTTCAGCTTTATTGAGATATAATTGACAAAATTGTGTTTTAAATTGTACAAACATGATGATTTGACACATTATGCTTTGTGAAATGATTACCACAATCAGGTTAATTAACACATTGAAGCCATATGCTATCACTATTTTTCTTTTCTAGAAGAAAAGATACTAGAACTCTCCCTATTTATTCTTTTTTTTTATATTGGAGTATAACTGACATTTAACATCCTATTAGTTTCAGGAGTACAACATAATGATTTGATTTTTGTATACTTCGTGAAATGATCACCACAGTAAGTCTCATTAACATCCAACATCACACATAGTTACAATGTTTTGTTTTTTGATGAGAGCATTTTTTTCCTTTAAAAAAAACCTGGGTGGCTCACTCGGTTAAGCATCTCAGGTCATAATCCCAGGATCCTTGGATGGAGTCCCACATCTCTTTCCCTCTGCCTCACTCCAGCTTGTGCTCTCTCTCTCTCTTGCTCACTGTCTCTCTCAAATAAATAAAATAAAGTAAAAACAAAAGAAGTGTCTGTTAGCCATTTGTATGTCTTCCTTGGAGAAATGTCTGTTCATGTCTTCTCATTTTTTGATGTGATTACCTGTTTTTTAAGTGTTGAGTTTGAGGAGTTCTTTATAGATCTTGGATATCAGCCCTTCATCTGTAGTGTCATTTGTGAATATCTTCTCCCATTCTGTGGGTGCCTCTTTGTTTTGTTGACTATTTCCTTTGCTGTGCAGAAGCTTTTGATCTTGATGAAGTCCCAAAAGTTCATTTTTGCTTTTGTTTCCTTTGCCTTTGGAGACATGTCTTAAAAGAAGTTGCTGTGACCAATGTCGAAGAGGTTACTGCCTATGTTCTCCTCTAGGATTTTGATAGATTCCTGCCTCACGTTGAAGTCTTTTTTTTTTTTAAGATTTTATTTATTTACTTGACAGACAGAGATCACAAGTAGGCAGAGAGGCAGGCAGACAGAGAGAGGATGAAGCAGGCTCCCCGTGGAACAGAGAGCCCGATGCGTGGCTCGATTCCAGGACCCTGGGATCATGACCCGAGCTAAAGGCAGAGGCTTTAACCCACTGAGCCACCCAGGCACCCCCTCACGTTGAAGTCTTTTATCCATTTTGAGTTTATCTTTGTGTATGGTGTAAGAGAATGGTCGAGTTTCATTCTTCTACACATAGCTATCCAGTTTTCCCAGCACCATTTATTGAAGAGACTGTCTTTTTTCCACTGTATATTTTTCCTGCTTTGTTGAAGATTATTTGATCATACAGTTGCAGGTCCATATCTGGACTCTCTACTCTGTTTCACTGGTCTATGTTTCTGTTTTTATGCCAGTACCATGCTGTCTTGGTGATCACATCTTTGTAGTAAAGCTTGAAACCAGACAACATGATGTCCCCATTTTGTTTTTCTTTTTCAACATTTCCTTAACAATTCGGGGTCTCTTCTGGTTCCATACAAATTTTAGGATTGTTTGTTCGAGCATTCTGAAAAATGCTGGTGGAATTTTGATTGGGATGGCATTGAAAGTATTGATTTCTCTGGGCAGTATAGACATTTTAACAATATTTATTCTTCTGATCCATGAGCATGGAATGCTTTTCCATCTTTTTGTGTCTTCTTCAATTTCTTTCATGAGTGTTCTGTAGTTCCTTGAGTACAGATCCTTTACCTCTTTGGTTAGGTTTATTCCCAGGTACCTTATGGTTCTTGGTGCTATAGTAAATGGAATTGATTCTCTAACTTCCCTTTCTATATTTTCATTGTTAGTGTATAAGAAAGCAACTGATTTCTGTACATTGATTTTGTATCCTGCCACATTACTGAATTGCTGTATGAGTTCTAGTAGTTTGGGGGTGGAGTCTTTTGGGTTTTCCATATAAAGTATCATGTCATCTGCAAAGAGAGAGAGAGAGTTTGCATAATCATTAGCTATCAGGGAGATTCAAATCAAAACCACATTAAGATACCAACTTACACCAGTTAGAATGGCCAAAATTAACAAGACATTAAACAACAAGTGTTGGAGAGGATGTGGAGAAGGGGAACCCTCTTACACTATTGGTGGAAATGCAAGTTGGTGCAGCCACTTTGGAAAACAGTATGGAGATTCCTTAAGAAATTCAAAATAGAGCTACCCTATGACCCTGCAATTGCACTATGTGGTATTTACTCCAAAGATACAGTTGTAGTGAAAAGAAGGGCCATCTGTACCCCAATGTTCATAGCAGCAATGGCCACAGTTGCCTAACTGTGGGAAGAGCGAAGATGCCTTTCAACAGATGAATGTATAAAGAAGATATGATCCATACATACGATGGAGTATTATGCCTCCATCAGAAAGGATGAATATCCAACTTTTGTATCAACATGGACGGGACCAAAGGAGGATTAAAACAATGAATCTTGGAACACTGAAAAAATAAAATAAAATAAAATAAAAACAAAAGAAAAAACCCCAACCCAACTTCCCATTTTGGTATCATTGATATCCCCAAACTGCACAGATTTAATGTACAGAATTTGATGAGTTTGGACATATGTGTACACCCATGGAACTATTACCACCAATCATCAATCCCTCTTCTTTACTCCTCAACAATGCTCTGAAGCATGGCATTTCTTAACTACTTCCACAATTCATACAAGTCCTTCCTTCTTAGTATGGATCCTTTAAAAAAATTTTTTTAAGTAGGCTCTATGCCCAGCATGAAGCCCAATGTAGGGTTTGAACTCATGACCCTGAGATCAAGACCTGGGCTGAAGACCCAAGCTGAGATCAAGAGTTGGGTACTTAACTGACTGATCCACCCATGTACCCCAGTATGGATCCTTTTTTGAAATTACTTAAGGCAAAATTAGTATGTTTGAGAAAGTTTTCCTTGCAGACCTATATGATGAGAACTTTTAAGACCTATTCTTTTAGCAACTTTCAAATATGAAACAATGTTATTGACTATAGTCACCATGCTGTACATGACATTCATATGACTTATTTAATGACTGGGAGTTTGTACCTCTTGACCCCCTTCACTCATTTTACTCCTTTATCTCCCCTCCTTTCAGGCAACAGTTGATCTATTCCCTGTATCTATGAGTTTTGTTTTATTTGTTCATTTGTTTTGTTTTTTGGATTTCACATGTAAGTGAAATCATACAGTATTTGTCTTTCTCTGCTTCACTTACTATTCACTTAGCATAATGCCCTCAAGTTCTATTCATATTGTTGTGGATGGCAAGATTTCCATTTTTTTGTGCCTGAATAACATTCCATTGTATATATACACCACATCTTCTTAACCCATTTATCCACTGGTTAACACTTAGTTTGTTCTGTATCTTGGCTATTGTAAGTAATGCTGCGAGGAACACAGGGATACAATTCCTTTTTGAATTAGTGCTTCTGTTTTCTTCAGATAGATGTCTAGCTGGATCGTATGCTAGTTCTGTTTTTAATTCTTTGTGGGATCTCCATGCTGTTTACTGTAGTGGCTGCACCAATTTACATTCCCACCAACAGTGCACAATTGTTCTCTTTTCTCCACATCCTCACCAACACTTGTTATTTTTTGTCTTTTGATAATAGCCATTCTGACACATATGTGGTGACATCTCATTGTGGTTTGATTTCTATTTCCCTGATGATTAGTGATGTTGAATATATTTTCATGTGTCTGTCGGAATCTGTATGTCTTCTTGGAGAAAATGTCTATTCAGCTCCTCTGCCCATTTTCCAATGCCCAAGGACAGCCAGAGTCTCCATTTTGTAAATAATATCTCCGCAAACTCTAGTCCTAAACTATGATTTGTTGCTTATGTAAGGCACAAAGTAACTTTGTCATAGAGAGTGAAAAGAAGGAAAAGGGAAAGAAAAAAAAGGAAGAGGAAAACTGAGGGAAAAGTAAAGTAGCAATTATATTTGGTTTGTATTTTTTCAATTTTCTTTTTAAAAATTTCATCTTTATTCCAGTATAGTTAATATACAATGTTAAATTAATTAATAGAATGATTCAACAATTCTGTTCTGTTCTGGTGTTCATCAAGATAAGTGTACACTTTAATCCCCTTCACCTATTTCACCCATCTCCTGCCATCCCCCTGCCCTC